CCAACCTTTTTAACAGATTTAGGAAATGAATTTGTGTTGTTCAACCTGGTACCCATGTGTCTTCCAGCTGTTATGCGGGTCTAGGAAATTAAATTTTGAACTTGGGCTGTTCTGAAGACTCTGATACCTACCAAGGACTGCCTGGAGTGTGTCAGTTACACGAGCTCTTTCATTGCCTAACCTGTACTTCTTGTCACTCAAACTCTGAAACAGGACAGGGGAGCTGAGCCGCTATTGATTTTGGTTGACGTTGTGCTAAGATCAAGTTTAAGATGAACTTTTGTTTCCCTGTGGCCTTCGGTGACTGCCCATGAATGTGCAGGGCAGGCTTCTGAGCCCGACGCTTTCAGGCTTCCCTCTCCCCTCTTGGCTGGTCAGTCCCTCGGAAACAGTGCAGAGAGGAGAGCACTGGGTTGGAAATGCTGAGACTTCGATCAGGAGTTCAGCGGCCCACTCTTTCCCTGAGTGTGTTGATACCCCCTCTTCTTCTCCTGTGCAGCACCTGGGTGTCTGGAGATCGTCACCTCTGTGCATTTTGTCGCATTTTAGCTTCTGTTCAATTTAACCCATTTATGCCAAAGGTCGCAATTTTTTTGAATTTTTGCATGAAATTCATATATGTTACCTAGAAAAATTCTAGGAACAAAAATTTGAACAGAAAAATCTTTATTATATTCTGTTATTATACGTCATTCCAAAATTGGAATACAAGGCATGGAAGGATTAATTATATCAGAGTAAGAACAAGCTCTTCTCAGAGCCTTTAGTATAACAATGTGCAGAAGTTCAAAGATTCTGTGACGCCATTGTTCCTTGATTAGGAGTCTATCTAAACCCACTCAGAGAGGAAGGGTTTATCCTAGGGCAGGGCTCCCTGGCTGATCCATTAATGTGTGTTTCGACCTCCTCTGCTGACCACTGGTCTTGAGTTTGAGTTCAGCCAAGGCCAGCAGTATGGCTTGAGATCTGCTGTTGGCTCTAGGACTCAAGGTGTTCCACTGTGAGCCAGTGAAACTCCTCCCCAGTTGTTCAGCTTCTAAACATACTGCAGTATGAGCCTCAAGGCAAAGAGCGGAAGTCTGTTCAGGTTACGAACGCTCATTTACACCTGGAAGACCCTCACTGGAACACTTCAGTGTCTTGGGCCCTAGAAGAGCTGGTATTGCTAGGCAAATAATGACTCTGGAGATCGTCTAGGAGTAACAAACACAGAGAATGGGGTGAAGCTAGGAACCCTCACAGTGATGCACAGAACAATGAGACCCTTTGGCTTGTTGAAAGCCTGAATGGGGAAAGGAAAAAATGAACACACACACACACACACACACACAGCCAAAAGCCAGATGTTTTTCTAGCCACTATTTACACAAGCTAATTCTTTGAAAGGTAAAAGAATCACAGCTTTCATGCAAGGCCACAGGTGATGCTTAGTTCTGAGACCAGCTGTCTCTTTGGGCTTTTGGAAAAGGTTCAGACGACCTCACGGTACTTTCCATTTGGCTCTGGAAGTTGATGAAGAGCGCTCTCTGAGGGGTATAATGTGTAAATGAAGGCTCGGGGTTTCCGTGGTGTTCCTCTGAGGTGCTAAATAGATAAATCCCCTTCCTGGAGTCCTCACCCGAGGTGGGCACGCCAGAATGTAAGTCAGAAATGGAGGCATTGGCAGTTTTGAGATCATTACAATTATTATAATTTTCACCCGAACTAGATCCAGCAGGTGGTAATGGCAGCTTCTCCATTCTGTTTAGACACTTGGGCTGAAACTGGAATAAGTTGTCAGGAGAGCCAAGCTTTTCAGAAGTAAAGCAGGGGGCGATACTATGTGGTACATTTTTAGCAAATGAGATACCATAGGGTGTTATTGTTTTGTTTTGTTGGCACCGGGCGTCAAACTCAGGACCTTGCACTTGCAAGACAGGCAGCGGCACCACTGAGCTAAATCCTCAGCCCTAGATCCCATAGGATGCTGACATAGTCCAGAAGCATTTTTGTGGTCCCCACATGAATGAGCACCTGTGAGCACTGCTGACATAAAATTTAAGCCATTGACTTCTTAGAGATACATTTCCTGTGAGCTGAGCACAAAAATGTCATCTCATATGTTTCTGTTGAGGAGGAGAATGGACTGTTCATTCTCCTTTGATGACTGATTCTGCAATGCATGTGACTCAGATGAGAGCAGAATATACTTGTTCTAGGGACTTTCTTTCTTTCTTCTTTATTTCTTTATTTTTTGGTTTTTTTGAGACAGAGTCTCACTATGTAGTTGAGGCTGACCTGGAACTTACTATGTAGCCCAGGCTGGTCTTGGACTCACAGAGATCCTCCTGCCTCAGACTCCCAAGTGCTCGGATTACAGGCATGTGCCACCACGCCCGGCTTCTAGAGACTTTTAAGGAGTATTCACTCTCTAACATCAAACCAAAGGTGTCAAGCAGAGCCATTCTGGGATCATCCTATCCCTCCAAACAGGACCTTGCACCCAAAATCTGCCTGCAATTTTGAGATTAGCTGAGATGTATTCCTACAGTTCCAGCTGTGTAGATGGAAAAGACACAGGATTTCTGAAAACCATGCCATAGGAAATTTATCCTGTCTGATAGTTGTTAAATTTAAATAAAACTGTGACAAATGATTGTGCTTACCCCCCTTGAACCTGCTACATAACCTATAGATCACTGCCCATACTGTGAAGAAGAGTTGAGCTAACATCTCAAATATTCAGATTTTTTTGCTTTTAGAACTTAACTAACCTCACTGTCTGTCCCCCTAAAGTGAAAAATGCTTCTCTGCATGAGAGCAATTGAAAGAGACACCAATGCAAGGGATCTATGTCTCAGTGGTCCAGGGGGGTATTTTCACAAGCACTGGAATATAAGAAGTGGTGGAGAAATTTAAGGGGCTTGCTATGATTATGACTTTGCATTTCTATAAAACCTTGTAATCTTTAGCCATATCCAATTCCCACTTTGAGAAAACTTAGGATAGAAATTTCACCTTTATATACTTTTCCTAATGGCTGATTTGGAAACAAGCATTCCCCACTGTGGTCGTATCTGGAAATAGTAAGCACTACATTTTTCACTTTCCAGACAGGTTTTTTTTTTCTTGTTTTTTATGTGCAGTTTGCATACTTCTCTGAGTTTAGAATTATATACTGCAAAAACAGGTTAAATACAAATATTATACAGCATAACATTATTTTAATCATTTGAAATATTGAAAAACACATGGCATTAAAGTTCACTAAGATTCTAAGATTAACACTGAGTTGTATTAACCTTGTCTTAAAGTAACCACATGATTATTTAACCAAGAAAGTACAACTGATAATAAACATCAATTCAAATATATTATCTTCTGAGTTCAGTCTTGTGAGGAAAAAAAAAAACTATTTGTGCACATGAATACTTAACCCATGAACATTATTTAAGTACAAAAACCAAACCCCAGTGTCGAATGGGTCTTTTCGCTTCTCTTATACAATGTCGCCCAAAATTGGTTGCAATCTCTGTTTGAACTATAAATCCTCAAATACAGAGAAAGGATGAGCCTCAAGGAATTTCCAAGTCTAGATTACCCCTCACCATGTGTTCCTGTGAGTCTATGACTTGTTTGGCAAATTTCTTTGACACCTCATGTGTGCGTCTCAAATTCTGTTCCCCATCATCTGAGGTGGAAGCCAACGGGAACACACCTGGCAGCTTTAGAGAACTGATCATTGGCCCATCAAGCAGCTTCCCCAGATGCACGCTATGAAGACTCTTCACCGCCGGATCCTGGCCTGGGCTCTCGAGGCCTCCTGCTGCTTCTCACAAAGGACATTTCTGCTGTGCAGCTACCCTGAAACCACCAGTGTGCTTGCCTTGGTGGCGCTAGCAAAAGTGTCCTGTGAGCACCACATCAGTCCCATCCTCCCAGCAGCATACTCTGTCTGGGGCTCAAATCACATGTTACTGATCTGCATTTTATCGATAATAAGTGATTGACAAATAATGTTCAAAAGGGCCCCGGACATCACGTGTGAAAAAGCTATTTCACGGAGGAATTTGTGTATTTAGGAATACTCAGAACTGAAGCTTAACCAAATTAATTTTTATGTAGCTTAAATTTCTCACAAATTCTCACCTTGATTTTAGTCAGTGAGGAAATGCCACACTGTCCCCTATTTCGGGGTTGTTAGTTTTACTGTTTACTGTAGCTTTGAAATGCTTCCCAGTAGAACTAATTTACAATAATTGAAGAAACAGGCAAACCAGCGCTTTATTAAGGGAGTAGACGCCTATTTTGAATATACTAAGAATCTTAGGATTTCATAATAAAACATCATGACCTCAAATTTTTAATATTTCGCCTTATGCAGTTAATGAACGCCTTAGTATAATCAGCTGAAATTATCTTTTTGTGATTTACCTAAAAATTGGAATTGATTTGCATGTAAACAAAAGGAAGACGTGTTCTCTGTCTGCCCTTCCAAGTGATGGTGCGGATTCTATTTTCTCCTCTAAATCACTATGAGAAGCTACTTGATTTTCTTTTTTGCCCTTGATCTGAGTTTTGCTTCTTAGCTGCATGAAAAGTATGTCTCCCTAATCTCGCCCCGATTCTGTGGAGGTCCTTAGAAACATGCACTGATCCGAGGTACTGATGAAAATGCATGCTGAATTGTTTGAAGAAAAAAAATGTAGGTGAAACAATTTGGAAGTGACTTGCTATGAAATCTGTTTCACTAATGTGGATATTGATCTCTAGAAAGTTGAACTGAAAATTAAAATAGTAGTCCTTCGTTAGGATAGGAGCAGCTTGTACAATCTGTGTGTGGATGCCTGATGAGGGTACTGATTTATTTTTAATACTGACCTTTCTTACACTTAAGTAGTGGTAGAGGAGAGGTCATTAGACTTAAGGAGATACATAGCGACTTTCAGGATGTCTTGAAGTTGCTTGACCTGGGGACGGAGTCATAATCTTTTTCTCCTTCTTCCCGTTCCATTCAACAGATAGTCGCTGCAATAATGGCAATTACCGGCATCGTCATGATGGCCTACGCGGACAACTTCCACGCGGACTCCATCATAGGCGTGGCCTTTGCAGTGGGCTCCGCCTCTACGTCCGCGCTATACAAGGTCTGTTAGGTGCCTTCTTTTGTAGTCAGCGGTCACCTGTAGTTTAGATTTCAGCAATACAGTAAGAAAGGGCCATGAAAACTCTGGTTAGAAAAAGAATAAATGTGTTTAAATAATAGTTGAAGTAGCATTTATCGGGTACTTGCTGTGTGGTGGTATCTGCCAGAAAAATTCACCTAACGCTAACTTAGGAGGCGTAGATGCTTTTCCCCATTTTCCAAATGAGGAAACGGGGGCTTTCAAAGATCCAGTAACTTGCCCAGATCAGACAGCCAGGAAATGTTACAGCCAAGATTGAAGCTAGATTAGACAACTACTAAGCCTGTGCCCTACCCTACTTATCAGGCAGTGATAGCAGGAATGTGAGAAAAGCTTCTTCTCGCCTTGTTTCTTCCATTTAACTATCCATGATCGTTATTCTAACTTCAAAGCAATATTGGAAATACAAATTAGCTGTCACTTGAGCCACTCTACTACACACTGACCCAATTCCACAGGAGCCATGTCATTAAAAAATGAAGACATTCTTCTCCTCTCTGAGGGGCCTATTTTCATGCATGTTAGCAAATTTTACTGTTAGCGGTCCCAGAATGAATGTATCCTGTAACTGGATCAGGAGAATTCTCTCCATAAGGTAATCATCCTGGTTACATAGCTCAATAGCCCTGCTTCTGGCGGGCGTGGTCATGGCCTGGTCTGCGGCTGGAGGAGGGGCCTGAGCAGCACCTGCACACAGTGCAGATCTGACTCAGGAGTCCACAGGTCCTCTGAACAGCGGAGAGAGGCTGAGTCTACTCTGTGAGCTCGCCGCTGCTTTCCCAGTCTCTATTCATTGCACCTGACTTCAGAAGCACGGAATCAGAGCACAGATCGAAAAGGTCGGATCCCACAAAGCTCTGCTGTTTAAGAGCATACTTCCTGGATGATTCCAATTTCACCTCTTCTGGTGTTTCAGTAAGAGAATAGTCTTTGAAAAACAGAAAATACCCTTTGCCCACCTTCCAGAGGCCTGTTTTGATTATTCACCACCGCTGGGAAATCTATTTCCATACTGACATTTCCTGGCCCGCTGATTTTGTGTGACAAGCTTGACAAGTGTTCTCTTACTGGCCGTTAGTGTCTGACTTGCTCCCCACAGGAATGCCACCAACATGTCTGATGTGACCGCAGGCCAGCATGTGCCCACGTCCTCTCAATTAAGTCTTCCAAGAGAAAAAAGAACAATTTCGGTCAAAAAAGAAGAAACAAGTGGTATTTGGAATTAATATGAAACCAGGATGGTTATCTTACAGAGGGAGTTCTCCTGACCAAGTCACACAGTGCATTCACTCTGGGAGTGGTGGTACTTGCTAGCAGGCTCAGAATTATATTTGTACCACAATTCCTGACAGAAACGATCTACTCCGTAATTATTAGAGGACTGGCAAAGCAAGAAGACGGGTCAAGAAATTGAGAAACATGGGCTTCAGATCTGGCCTCCTGTCCCAGCCAGCTCTGACTTTAGCCATTTGCCCATCTTTGCCATCTTCTTCCTCTGTACACAGGCTTATAATCCAGGTAAACAAATTTTTTGGAAGCCAGAAAGAAGATAATGCAATGTTAGTGAAGACATTTAAGATCACAAGGCATGATTTATGAGCACAAGGCATCACTATTTCTCTCAACAACATAATGGCAGTCTCTTCTGTCCAATTTTCTTTTCAGTCCCTGTCCCAAACACGGACGCAATGAACACACTCCTCACCCACGCTGGAAAGAAAGAAATGATAGCACCTCAATTGTAGAGTTTTCTGGGCTAGTCTGCACACTTATTAACCATTCACCCTGTACCTCTCCTGGTGGTCTTGCTTTACATAGCATATGGTCCCACAGCAATTTTCAGCACCATACAGAATATATTTTTTGGTGGTTGCTGCTCCAAATGAGGGATGTAGGACATTTTAATTCCAGTCTCGGCCCACATATAGCAGGGAAACGGCAGGGGAAGGAGTCCTGGAGAATGAGCTCTGGGCAGTTACTTCCCTGTATAGATCAATTGCGCTTACCTTTCCACTTCAGCAAAGTCTCCAGCCGTGTGGCTGAAGAGTTTCTTCCCCATCCAGGTTCTGTTCAAGATGTTTCTCGGAAGTGCCAACTTTGGTGAAGCTGCACACTTTGTCTCCACCTTGGGTTTCTTCAATTTGATCTTCATCTCCTTCACCCCAGTCATCTTGTATTTCACCAAGGTGGAACACTGGTCCTCTTTTGCAGCTCTGCCGTGGGGCTGTCTCTGTGGGATGGCAGGACTGTGGCTGGGTAAGTGGCCTCAGGTTTCGGTTTCCATTTAGTATGTCACCTGAACTTTCCTTGGACACATTTATAGGAGGGTTGTTCCGGTGGGCACCTCTGTACTCTACTGCCCTAATTTACATTGGCTAATGTCATCGAATGTTTAGAAGGTTCTCTGTAGGCTTGTGTTTGATTAGAGCCAAACTATCCAGCTGAGGGAGCTTTACTATGCTTTAAAGTGTGAAACTGGGCATCCAGGCCACTTTGCTACCACTGGCTTTCACATCTTGTCCAGCCTCCATGATGGGCTGTGCCATATATATGTCCCATGTATGCCACGGTGTGCTGGGCAGAGAGGTAAGACAGTGGGTAAGATCCACTATCAGAGTGGTTCAGATGGCCAGAGCACCCAGTGCAGGCAAGAGGAAAAGAAGGCAGGATTTGGCATTGAAGAGGGAAAGAGCTTATGAAAGGTATGCAAAGCCACATGGAAGAATTTGGATTTTAAGCCCATTTAATCTTTAAGCAGAAAAGTGATGAACTCATGTCTGCCTAGGGAACTGCTCACTCTGCTGAGTGTGCAGAATGGCTTCGCAGGAGGAAACTCTCACCAGGAGGGAGAAGACAGCCTGAGCTAAACTTGGTAGACCATGCCTAGCCAGGAGCCACGGAAAAGTCACCTGGAGTCTTTGTAATGCTTGCTCCTTGCTCCTGTCTCCCTGGATCTGAGGCTCTCTGCTGTGCTGAGCTCCTACTGTGAAGCTCTACTTGACCTGGGAAGAGCCTGGGAAATGATGAGCCTGCTCTTCTCTCACCAAGCGGTCAAGAACCAGTAACAGCCCCGGGCCCAGTGTCTATTTACCCAGAATCAGAACATTCTTGTTCTGCCCTCTTCCCCACACACTGTCTCCTCTGCCTGCTCCACATTGACCCATCACTGGCAACCCCAGGACCTCCACCAGCTCCTGGCCTATCCTGGGCCAAGATGGTACTGCTTCAGTGCATGTCCTGGGAGAAGAATGTCCTGATTTCAGCAAGGGTAGTGGGTGGGTTATCTTATTATGTTCCAGCCAGGCCCCTAACAGGAGATCTTACAGAAACACTCTCAAGAGAAGAACCAAACATTCACTGTCGTTCCCCGGCGTTCTACTATTCAAGACCAAAACTGTACGGTTATCATTCCCTCATTACCTCTGATCAGCTAAGTAGCAGTCAATACAGTGTTTCCATAAGATCAAAATGTCCTCAGCAAAAGGGCTTCTATTATTTCCTGTCCAAAACAGCCTAGTTTGGAACAATCATAAGCAAAATTTCACTGGCTCTTGGCTCCCCCTGTGCACACGATTCCCACCTCGTAACAAAGTAAGCCGAGTCCCTACACATGTGTGTCCTTTGACACATCTAACGCATGCTGCTAAGTGAGCTCGCTCAGGCCAGGGGCTGGGCCCTGGAGTTTGCCAAGCAGTTTGGTCTCCATGCTCTAGTAGGCACAGCGCCACCTGGTACTGCAGCTGCCCCGTGACAACTACCCCAGGGCTCCGCAGAGCTCCCTGTGCCCAAGATATTCCGTGACAAATTGAAGAGACAGCTTTTCCCTGGGCTGTGTTATACACTCCAGGTCTCTACACTCCAACACTCAAGTGCTTTCAGTCTAAAGTCTTTGTTTCCTTCCCCATCACCGACAGTCTCACTGGGGCAGTTCTGAGAGGCAGGACTAAGAGATAAATACGAGTCTGTGCTCTAAGCTGCCCTAATTCTTCTGAAGCTGTGGCTTAGGACCTGTCCCACAGAGACCAGACCTCTGGGAGTGCCTAAGCCCGAATGCAGGTTAGCTTTGTCCATTCATCCAACATGTCTGAGTTGCACATGGATTTGCACTGGTCTCCATGCTACTCTAACACATCGAATTAGATAACCCTTTCCTCGGGTTGTCAAAAGAGAATGTAACTATTTCATGTAAGGAACTAAGGAAAAGCAGACAACACATTTCAGCAAAACCACTAGGGTTTTGCTGAGTGAGAAAGGCTTGGTTCTGCTAAAATATCACTGTTTTCATGCAGTTTCCTAAAATAATTCAGTTTAGCCAATAAAATGACCATTTATGAATACAGCAGAGCCCTGGTGCATTTAATAAATTTCTAACCTGTCAGAATTTGTCATATTTGACTTCTGGATCTAAAGAGAGCCTTCGGGTGTTAGAACCTTAGTTGACTCTGCAGCCTTGCTATGGGTGAGGAAGAAGCAGCTATTAAAGCAGGAAGGACATAGGCCTGGATTGCCAATGCAGTTTCTAAACAAGCCTTAAAGACCAGTCTCATTGTCTCCAACTACCAAGTACAACTCCAAATAACTGAGTTAGTGGTCTTTATTAAAGCATAGATAATAGAAGAATACAAACCATTATAACTGGAATGGTTCTAGAACCTTCTTTGATTCTACTGGAATAGTTCTAGAACCTTCTCTGATTCTACAGAGCTATGGGCAACATGTGTCTTCCACATTCACAGAGATATCTGATTAAAAGACCTTTTGTACTTGCTAATACTCACTGCTCTATCTCCTAAAGCACACACTCAGCAAACATATTAATATCATGGTTTGTATTTTATAACTTTTTTCCTCTGTAAAACATATTTTTGAAAGAGATGGATGATTATTTAAAATAATTTCCTATTTAAAGAGATCCAGAGGTATCAATTGTAGAACACTGAGCCACACCTACAGTTAGTTCTATGTCCCTGCTCTCTGTTATCTATTCACAATCGGGACATGGAAATGGCCCCTGGGATTCAGAGAATTACATTGAATCCACCTGTGTTTGCCTACATGATGTTCACTCCAGTGGGGGAGGGGGAAATAGGATGGACTGTAACTGGCTATACTTTTTTTAAAAAATAGTGACATTAAAGCATTTTAATCACCCAGTAAAATAACATAATATAGCCAGGCGTGATGGCACACACCTGTAATCCCAACACTCAGGAGGCTGAGGCAGGAGGATCACTGTGAGTTCGAGACCAGCTTGGGCTACACAGTGAGTTCCAGGTCAGTCTCACTACATAGTGAGATCCTGTCTCAAAAAACAAACAAAAGAGATAACATAATATAGAAAACTAACAAAGAGATAAAGCACTAAACTTTAACCATTCACCTGCTTTCAACCTCTCCTGGTCCCACCTACCCTTATAATGCTAGTATTAAGTGTAGTGAATTGATAATTTTGCCTCTTTGCATTTGCTTTAAACACCTTTTGCCAGGCCATTGGCAAGAACTCAGGCAAACTGTGAAAGAGAAGGACAAAAGAATCTGACTAATTCAGGCATATAAACATGCATCCATCTCCAAAATTAAAGGGTAAATTGACACTCTGTGCAGACACTTGAAAAGGTCTTTGTTCAATGTTGAACAAAGGCATTGATTCTATTACATTAAGGAAGAAAAGACAGCAGCATCTCAATTTTCCTTTGTCCTGTGTATCTATCTGTCTTTGTTTTACAGCCTTCAACATCCTGGTTAATGTTGGTGTGGTGCTGACATACCCAATCCTGATCTCCATTGGGACAGTGCTCAGCGTCCCTGGAAATGCAGGTACTGGTCCAGCTGGGCATGTGGAGTTTCTGACCAAGACAATAAGTCTCCTCTTAATGTTCACTTTATGCTGACTTGTTTCTTCTAGCAACTGTGAATTATGCCCCTTGCCTCAGAAGGTGTTTTTAAATATCATGAGGGTGGCAGACAAAAGAATAACTATGTAGTAGATTTAAAATTTGCAGTTACAAAAACACTGTTTTTATTTGGTTGTGCTTTTAGAATTAAATACCAAATGTATCATTTGGGTTTCATGTAATCACCCTGACAACCTAATTTTATGGTATTTTTAGAGGAAGTCCTATGGAAACAAAAGGCACTCCAGCATAGGACTGTGAAGAACACATCCCTACTGAAAGTGCAGAACGTTAGCAGAGTGTGGGCTCCCTATCACATTACCCATGAGGGCTGCAGGAGCTTCACCTTGGGCAGAGTAGATGGCTCTCCAGGAAAGGCAATTTGATTCACTTCAAGGGCAAGAAGAAATATTATTTTTCCAGGATAATCTTCCTAGTGAAACTTCCAGAGAAGCTAGCAATGAAAAGGCATAATCTGGGTAATGGTTCAGTCCTTCCAACTTTAAAATTCTGGGATCCCAACTTTTGAATAGCCATCTTTCTTTCCTTCAGGACATTCATCAAATGTTTATTGAGCACTTATTATGTTACCAGGGTTGTAAATAAGACAACAACAAAAATACATTATAGTTCTCTTAAGAAGCTTATACTTCAATTTGCAAAAGAAAACCAAACAAACACCACCACATGGATAACACCAACATTTGCTGTGAGCTCAAGCAGTAGATAGATCCCCTTGAATCATGGCTGCAGAAGCCTCTGAGCACCTGGATTGCTGAACTCCTGGAAATTCTTTCCTGGTTGACCCTGAATGGGCTGGAATCCCTGCGGGGGGGGGGTCTCTTCTCAAAGCCAAGTCTTTCACTTTTATACCTTGTAACCCATGAAGGATGGGCTCTTGCTGATTCCTGAGATGTCTCCAAGGTAACTTTCCTATTCTCCTAGTGCAAATTACTTGGCTTTCTTTCTTTACTTGACCTTTTCAGCAACTGTGCTCTGCTTTGTTCCAAATTTACAAGCACTTCTTTTCTGGGAAAACTTAAAGCTTTTCAGATGGGCTTTTTGCTCCTGATTCTCACTATAAATCTAGCTAAAATTGGCTGGTAGTTCCATGCCACAGCCTTAGCACTGGGCTGCCTTAAAATTTCTCTCACAGGATTAATTAGCTCAGTGTCACACAAAGTCTCAGGACATGGGCAAGATGTAGACACATTTTCTGCCAGAGCATAACACACATGGTCTCGATTCCAACTGCCAAGGAAGGTCTTGTTCCCAATTGAAGCCTTCTGAGTCAAGCTTTTACTGTCTCCATTTTTATCAGCATTCTGGTCTTCTGAGCTCTGGCCATAATCTCACATCAAGCTTGAATTATAGCATTCTAGGGCTTCTCTAGCCTGGCTCTCCAAACGTTTCTGAGTCCCTCCCACAAACCAGTTCCAACCTCTTCTAAACCACATGGTCAAGTAGTCACAGCAATGACCCTACTTCTCTGATTACCAAAAATCTATCTTAGTCACTTTCTCATCCCTAGGACAAAATAATTGATGCTCACAACTCAAAGGAGAGATTTATTTTGGCTCACGGTTTTTAGAGGATGTAGTTCATATTCAGCTGGCTCCAATGCAGGAACAGCATAGTGGAAAGGTCTGATGGAGAAAAGGTGTTCACCGCATAGTAGTCAGGAAATAGAGAGTGAAGGGAGGAGTCAGAGAGGGAGATATATTCCAGGCTACACCTCCAGAGACCCACCTCCAGCCAGGTCCCACCTGCTAATGGCAAATTAGCTAAAGCACTGCATGAGTCAGTCACCTTCCATAAGCCCCATCTCTGAACATATAAGGCTTTGGTGGGAAACATTCTAAAGTTAAGTTATAACAGGGTCCTATGCGGAAGTGATGGAGATATTTTGGAACCAGATGAAGAGATATTGCACAGCACTCTGATTGTGTTGAATGCCACCAAACTCATTTTAATATGCTAATTATATCATATGCATTTCACCTTGATTAAATTTTGTAAAAGGGCAGCCTGTACAAGTTTGATTTGTTTGAAAAATCTTTGATGAGCCATTGAAATTGGAGAAAGATGAAGGACTTCAGAGGAAAGTATTAAGAGAAAAAAGTGGAGAGGTCATTAAGCCAAATGATATGGAATTTGCGCTAAACTGTGAAAGGTGAGTGTAATTTAGAGAGATGGAATGGAAAACAAACATAGAGTTTGATATGAAAAAAGGAAACACTAGCTTGAAGCCTCTGGGAAACCTTGAGAAGTGACTCTGCCACGGCTCCTTGTTTCCAGAGAAGCTTGGAGATATTTGTAGACTGTGACTGATGAGGCTTTTCTTTCACAGCTGTGGACCTCCTGAAGCAGGAGGTGATATTCAATGTTGTCCGCCTGGCTGCAACCATCATTATCTGCATTGGGTTCCTGCTGATGCTGTTGCCTGAGGAGTGGGACGAAATCACTCTGAGGTTCATCAACAGCCTGAAGGAGAAGAAGAGCGAGGAGCATGTGGAGGACATGAAGGATTCTGGGGGGCACCTGCGGAGCAGGAGCAGAGTCAACGGCACCGTGTCCATACCGCTGGCTTAGAGATGGGCGCGATCTGAATGCACGTCTATGTATATTCTGTGAATATAATGAAATTTTCTCACTCCCTGTACACTCAAATGACAATATTCATTCTGAATTTGGATAAACCATATGTGAAATAATGCCAACAATAAAAGTTTACATTTATATGCTTACCAAGGAGCTGGTGTATATAGTCAGAATAAAATTTTTTATTAAAACTTGTATCCCCCTTCTATGTATTCTCTTTGGAAAGAAGGGATTTCCTTCCCAAGTCACACATTTTCTTGAAAATGGGAGAGTCAGTTAAATCATAGCATCATGTTTTTCTCAACTGGTACCGAAACCTTTATATTCAATCACAAAAGGTTGTCTATAGAAAACTATGCAAAGATTCATACTATATTGAAGTCCCGGAGGAGCCTGAGAATTTGAAAGCTGGAAACTCATTAAACAAATACCAAGAGAACACCCTCTACACGTAAGCCCTGCACTAGGAACAGCGAAGATGGGACGATGTGGAACACGGCACTTTTGATATGCTTAGAGTGGCACAGAGCGTAACGCATTTTGCAGCTTCTACACTGAAGGCAGACATTTGATAACACCGTAAAGAGACTTAGAAAGGGCACTGGCCCTTCACTAGCAAGTCTCGTGACAGAATCGTTCATACCTGCTGTCATTTCACCTTCAGTCCCCCTTCACTCCTCAACCCACTTGCCCGTACCTTCTACCATCATTGCTCCCCTGGAGATGCCGCAGGAAAGTCGCCAGCGATCTCTCTCTTGCAGAAGCAGGTGGATACTTTTCAACTCTCACCTTAGGATGCTCTCAGAGGCATTTAATGTGATAACTGTTTTCTCTTTTCCCTAAAATACTCTCTGTCCTTGGAGACTCTCAATTTTAGTTTGTGAGTACATATGTGCAGTGCATGTTTCCATTCCTTGTGGGGAGCTGGTACATGTGCATTACCCGCCTTAATTCCTTGTTTCATGCCCTTTCTGTCCCTTCCCTTCTCCATTCACTGTTCTCTCTCTGTTTTATTTTGTTGATTCACGTTTACAGTACATAATGTTTCCATTCCTTGTGTGGAGTTGGTATGGGCTCATAACACACTCCAAATCCTTTTTCCATCCCTCAACACTTCCCTCCTCTCCACACCCTCCATTTCTTGATCCCTTTCGCTTTGAGAATGACCGCTTTCCCTGCTTTCTCTTATCTGTCTTTTATTTGGCTCTTCATTTTTGTACTGGATTTCTCATGCAAACTCAGAGCACCGCACTCTCTGGCTGGACATCACAGAAAATAAAAACCTTGATGTGTCAGGCATCTGATCTCTCTGTCATTCTTAGAAGAGGCACTGCCAGTCTCCTGGCAGAGACAGATGACATGATAGTAACTAAAATAACTAACACGCACATTTTAAACTTCGTGATACACTTTCAGCTTCATGAAAAATGGTACAAAGTCAATTCGATACGTTATTAGTAAATATGAATTGATTCATTATGTAAGTAGAGTTAGTAATGATGAAATGTCATATTGTCACAAACGTCGCTCTTGCCTTCTTTTTAAATTACTGTGAAATCGTACTGAGCACTGACTAACCCTCTCCAACATCTTGCCACTACTTAACATGACATTGAAAACTGCATTTTGGCATCTTTAAGAAATGACTTGTTTTGCTGTTTTTTTCTTACTCATTTTGAAAAACAGAGTCAGCCAGCCTGGAAAGCACTAATTCAACCTATGACTGATCATCCATAATTAGCTCAGTCTATATTAGAAAATACTTCCATTATGCTGTTCATTCATTTCTTCATGAAAAATGATTAAGTTGTGGGCTCAGTGGTTCCACCGCCTGCCTCACAAGCACAAGGACCCGAGTTTGATCCCCGGTAACAAACAAACAAACAAACAAAAAATGATTAAATTGTGCTTCTGGCTTTGAAGCGGGGTCTTGCGTTAGAGTCATCTCTATTGGCCCCTGTTTGCTCCTGGAGCAGCACTGTGGACGGAATTCTGTGATCATGGGAGTGGTCTTCACCTGTGTTGGAGGAGGGGCGCATGAACATTATTAAGAAGGGTCCCTGCTTGCAGCTGACAACATTTAACAGGTAAGTTGTCTCCCTGACAATTAAAATAACTCAGAAATGTATTTAACTGTGGGACTGCGAGGTGTTCTTTCTAATTCAGGTAGAAAGCCATATAGAAAGATAATGAGAATACCTTTCATTGCCATCGCTCATGGTCATCATGAGGATAAGATGGGATAAAGAATTTCGGTCACTGAAAATGGTTGCGTCTATCTTGTGCTCTCAATGAGCCAGATTCAGGTGGGTCTGGACGACACTCAAAACCCAGCAGCTCTCAGAATTTGAAGGAGTTTAATTTAGCTCGCAAGCCAGGTGGATGCAGTTCGTGGCTGGCCTGCTGCAAGCCTGGAACATCATGGCAGAAGGGTGTGGCAAAACAAAGTTGCTTAATTCTTGGCAGCTAGGAAGAGGAGCAGGAGAACAATGCCAGAGGAAGGGCCAGTGCCAAGGCTACGCCTCCATGAACACCGATGACACTCCCAGGAATGTGCTGTAATTATCTACTAGGCATTTCTTGCTTTTTTTTTTTTCCTTTTTTTTTTTGAGACAGGGTCTTCCTATGTACTTCAGGCTGCCTTGAGCTCACATCAATTCTCCCACCTCAGCCTCCCAGTGCGAGGATTACAGGTGTGCGCCACCAGGCCTGGCCTTACTAGGAGTTTCCCAATCCAATGAAATTAACAAATCAGGGTTAATCATCAAAAGGAGCAAGACAAAGTCCTCGCCCTTGTTGTGACCACTGTTGCCTTGCCTCTCTTCCAAATCGTACCCATTCCAAGTGCAGGAGGTAAGGGGTTTTATAGGTAGCCAGCATGCTTCAGGACTAAGAACACCCACTCATCCGCCCCAACTTCCACTTCTTAGAGGTGTGGCTTCGGAAAATACCAACCTCTTTTTGCTCCTCAATTTCATCATAAATAAATGAGGATATTAATATCATTTAGGATTGTTGAGCAAACTAAAGAAAATAGCGTGTGAAGATCTTATCGCAGTGCCACAGCACAGTAATCCTGTTACCTCCTTCCAGGTCCTTGTCTAGAATTTTCAGGTACAGATCTGACCGCAGGCCTTTCCCTTTGCCACCCACTTCACAGCACTGTGCTCTGGCAAAGTCACAGAGCTTGGTCGTGAGCAGGGAATTCCGCCCAGAATAAACCAGAGAGACAAGAGAAGCCTGGCACGAGGGCCAGGCCGAGGGAGCAAGAGGCTCTGCCAGGCATCTGGCTCCCCTCCGCATTTCGCATCCGGCATTCCGGCCCAGTCAGCGGAACTAATTGCCTGACAAAAACACCGACTAGCAACTTGGGCTCTGAAATTGAAACCACTTCAACCACGTCCTGATCTCTTCACAAACAGATTATAGGCAAATCAATTTTGCTCTTCCGGGCTTTGCATGCCTGTTAATTTTGTGCAGGCACTTTGTCAAGATCCAGAGGACAAATGCTTTGGGGAAGGGCAATGCAAGAGATAAAAGCACGCGCAGGATAACCAACCAAGCGTTCGAATGTGTCTGATATTTAAGTACAAATCCTCTTTCTTATTTATCCATAAGCCCCTGTCAGAACCACAAAGAACACACAGCACAGGCCGTGCTGTTTAATCTGACAGGCTGGAACGGAAGTCTCTATTAATTCTGATGCATTTCCTTTGTCCTCTTTTCCTCCACATCTGCGGCAGTTGGAGGTAAAGTGAAAGCAGGGAGCGTTTAGGAGGTGATGGTGAGGGGTGCTGGAGCCAAGAGCACAGATGCCGAAAAAGCATAGCATGCATTTGAGTGCTCGGATTGGCTAGGCTGTGCCTGGATGTGAACCTCCGTAGGAAGGCACCCTGGGAAACCAGGAGCACCATGTCCTTTGGAGCTTGAAGACTCTTAAGAGTGAGAATTCTTGACCTGAGCTATAGGGACAGGCTTCAGGGCTGTTCCAAGACTCTCCTGACAGTTTTCAGAACAGTGGGAACTTGCTGCTTTGTTCTGGAGGAATTCATTCCAAGCACACGAAGACCCTGAAACCGCGTTGTCCTCCTATACATTAGCCCCAGCCATGTGTGGCTCTTGAGATGTGGTATAAGAATCAGCTGGGATGTGTTGTACCAAGCACGCTAGATTTAGAAGACTTCGTACGAGAAGGGGCAAAAGTCTTTCGTTATTTAATGCTTGTTGTATGCTGAGATGAGAATTTTCTTTATATGTTGTAGCTCAAGTTATATTTCCATGGGCAGCACTGCTCCAGCAGGCAATCACTCGATAGTCTCTTTCACTACTATAACAGAATATCTTTGCCTGAGTAGTTTAAAAAGCGAACACATCCCTCTCAGAGTTCCCAAGGCTGGCAAAGAGGGCTGCAGTTCTGTGTGTGGTGAGGGCCTGCTTCCTGCTTCACAGAAAACGTCTTCTCACTGTGTCTCCACATGGCAGCAGGGGCTCTCCAGCCTCTTTTATGAGTGCACTAATGTCATCTGTGCAGGTGGAGTCCTCAAGGCCTGATCACCTCCCCAGTTGACGCCATGATGTTCAGGGTTAGCATCTCAACAGATGAGTTGGGAGGGAGGCACAAGCACTCAGAGCACTGCAGAGAGATGCAGAGAACAGTGGGAGAAGTTTAGAGAGGCAGAACAGCACTGAAAAGAAGTAATTACTGGTCAGATTTTGTGAGTCAAGACAAAATATACCGAGTGTTGCTTGTGTCAGGCAAGTGAGAACTGCCAACCGTGAGCAGAGGGAAGAAAGAGAAGTAAGGGCAGTGTGTCTGTCAGTCACCTTCCCATTGCTGGGACAGACTTGCCCACACCTGCAACTTAAAGGAGGTCAGGACTAATGTGGCTCATGGTTTTGGGGGTTTAGTCCATGTTAGGCTGGCTCCAAGGCTGAAATAGCGTGGTGGAAGGGCAGGGCAAAGCAACGCTGCTTACTTCATAGAGGCTGAGGAACAGAGGAAAGGAATCTGATACATACCCAAGGTTGCATCTCCAGGACCCACTCACACACACCCAGTAGAGGCTCCACTGATCCCCAGGTGGCTCCCTAGCCAAGCAGGTTGACCTGTCATCGTTATTGGCCTCAGACAGTATTTCAAATTCTCAGCCAGAC